CCATTTATCCCTAATTGAACCAAACACACAAGCAACTCAGTACAATGGGAAGAGTACACACGGCCAAAGATATCACCTAGGGGTCGGTAAAAAGAAACCCCCCGCGAAGTGGCTCCTCAGCCATGCGGCAAGAAAGGAGCGCGCAGCCGGGTTACCTCGGTGCAGGTGCCAGTCCTCCTAGCGTGCAGGTGTTGAACATCGCTGGACCGAAAGAGTGCGCTGCTTGATCGATCGATAGACAGTTGAGGTAGTTGACCGCTCGCTGCTGGACAAGTGTGGGAGAATGCGTGACTTATGCGAAGTTAGACGTGGGAACGAGAGGCGGGGCAGCGCCAGGACTGGCATTTTAGGACCCATCGCTTTGCGGTGGCAAGCTCCCTATAAGGAAGTCGCGCAATCCGCGACAGTTGCAAAAAAATGTCTGTTTTTCTAGGCCTACTTTTTGAACAAACTTTTTTCCTCCAAAATTTCTTTTTCAATATGGATTCTGCATATCATTGGAAAGCTTTCTTCATGTATTTTCTAACAGTGGTGGAGCTTCTGTCTCATCAGTGAGAATTTTGCCAGCATCTCACACAGCTGCACTCAAAATCCCTTGGCCACAATTCAGGCGCAAATGAACGAATTCTTTTGAAAACATAGCTACTGTGCTGGTTGAATTTTATCTACCTGTAGCATGTTTGGGTAGATTTTTCGAAAATATTAGGTCGTCCCGAAAGTTTTGTCGGTTTCTTTCATCGCTCACTAAAGCTCACAGAACATCAGTCCATAAACGTTCTAGGTGCCATTTGATTCAGTTTTCATCCTCTTTCCTACAGCTATATTTGCTCTCTGATCTGCCATGTCTTTGCAATGTTATCGCCATGTCTTCTTAAGCAGCATAACAGTAACGCCAAACCTTTCCTGAATTTTAAAAATTTCTATCCTGATATTTCTAAGGAGCGCTGGTAACTATTATGTAGAGCAAAGCTTTGGCTACATTGTACCCATTTTAGATTACGTGGGTCACGTTTATCAAGTCCGTTATAATTATTTATTTGATAAAAACCGCGGCTTTTTGATTACGTTTGCCACGTAAAAGAACCGAAGATTCCAAAAAGCTGCGTTTTTGAAGCATGTCAAACTGGGTAATGTTGCATCAATAGTGTGTTCAATAAGAATCATGTTGCAGTTTGCAGAAACTTCAGAAGTTTTCATGTTTTTGCTGCAGTTGCGTGTTTCATGACTTTGCCAAAAATCGAGACCTTCGAAGAAATAATTTATTGAAGCAAAAATCAGCAGATTAGTGCGAAACTTTGAAATGAAATTTTCAAAAATTAGCCGGATTTTGAGCAGACAAAAATGACGGGTGAAGAATTTCAGCAGTTATCAAAGGAAGCATACAGGATTGTGGTTCGCAAATGTAACCAAAAGAAAGAGAAGGGAGAGCTGCATCAAATACATGCTAAAGCTCATTCAGATATTCATTGTGCGTGGTCTTGTAATGGTCTGAAAAAACCGACAAAACTTTCGGGACGACCTAATATCTGAACCGAGAAATCGACGCCCGAAATAAATACTCGCTGCCGGCATTCTGTGGGTTTAAAGTTTCTCATAATTAGGGCAATTGCCGAAGCATCGCTCATTTCTGTATGCTTGAGGTCAGGACATCTTGTTACAGTTTTTGCAGAGGATCCTATCTATTCAGTATATGAAGAATTTCAAATTTCCTAGTCTGGCCTACCACAAATAGGCTCAAAAAGTGGACAATTTTGGATCTCTTTCTTTTCTTTTCGCAGAACTCCTTCGTTAAAGTCTTTTCCAAGCATATGTAACTACTGGCTTGCGTCTACAAAATAAGCTGCTGGCAGCCATAGGAACAAAATTGAAGGAAGCTGTGATCTCTCAAGTACAAGCTTTTGCAAAGAAAATCTTTTGAAGCATGATTTTCTTTCCGTTTGCGATATCAGTAAATGTAATTGCGCGTTAGGTTAGGAAATGTTTAATGCTTCATATGGTTTCGATTGCATTCAAAAATATGAAGACTTGACAATGTTATAGTCTTTCAAATTGAAACTTTGCAAAACGGACATTATTTTTGCAACAACCTAATGGAAGCACGAGAAGCTGACAAAATGACTTGTGAAGTGACGAAATTGCATGCATCATAAATTGAGAAAACGATAGAAAAGAAACACTATAATTACATCTACCCCATTCGCGATAAATTACACATCGAAGTGGCTATTACGTAAATTAGATTGGAATTATGTGACCCCATGTAGCACTTATGGCAATGAAGTGCATGTGGAAGTATTATAAGTCGCGAAGTTCTCGGTAAGTTCCCTCGCGTTTAACGGCACCGTCTACCCAGATTCTCGACTTTCATGTTTTGATCGGCCCGGGGCCTTCTCATGTCTCTGATTTCGAATATGAAGTCGAGAATCTGCGATACCGCGACAATCCCCGTTCCGGAGAACCCACTGGTCGGCTTTCCGGAACGGTGATTGAATGGAAGCGCACGGATGGGCGGGGGTGTATGTCGAAAGGTGCGCGTTCCGGTAGTCGTCATTGCCAGAAGAGAATGGTACTATCAAGGTTTCCAAAGTCCAAATGCTTTGCCATCATATCAGAAAGTGGAATGGAAAATCATTAGTCGGAATCCGAAAGTATTAAATTAATTTTGAACTTTTCTCCTTTTTCAACTTTCTTTTTTCTAAGTAGTGACAATCGATCAATACGCGCCATTCGACCGTCTCCCATGGGCGGGCATGGATGGAGAGGGCGGTGCAGTCTGGAGTCCTCGTGCATCTTCGTTTTTCGGAGCGATTTTCTCGCTTGCGAAGAGACATTTTGCGTAGCAACTTAGGCATTAGCTTGATAGAGAGGGCCCTACTATTATATGCCGCCAAAAGATCAAGACCCTCAACTTAGGGTAGACGGTGCCTTTAACTCCTCAGGAACAGGGCCATTCCCGTAATGGGTTTTCGTCTACCCCGTTATGAGAGCGCGGGATGCCGCACAAAATGTCTGTACCATTAGGCGATTCCCATGTTCGCCGGCGTTGTTCTTTTTTCATGATGATATAGGGTTCCCATAGAAAATCTGCAAACCTCCTTTAGCCCGTTATGATGAGTCGAGTTTTGGCATGTGTTCATCGAGAACTTGATAATGTACAACTTTGAAATTTTTTACCAACATTAGAAACAATAAGTGAAGATGACCAAACGTTAAGGATCACCGGGGGATCAAAAAAATTAAGAAACTTTAGATGTTAGTAGTTGTTTGATCCATGAAATAAGCAGTTTAAGGTCCATATTCATGGATCTTGTAAGCGTATATACGACGATAGGTGGAGAAATTCCTCTGACCCCCTTCATTTTAGGACCGGCATCCGGTTGACCTCTTTCACCTGCGGTTGAGACTAGAATCAAGGCATAACGGCAGAACCAAACAGCTGTTACAACGGCACTTTCTTTTGAGAAGGAAAAGCAGATGCTCTTCTCCTCAGACATCAAGACTGCAAGAGAGTACCGAAGCAACAACGTTTTGTTGAAAGAACGCATGCTTGAGACTTCCGCGCACTCAAAGTGGCGTTGAGAACGAAACATAATCAAAAATTAGAAGGATGTCTGATTCTTTAAATAATCAACATTGTATCAATGAATACACACTGTCGCAAAAAAAGAGTTGAGCAATAGTAGAAAATCTGGACTAGCTAACGATGGATGCATGTTTGCTGACAATAATCTTACCATATCTCCTTTCACTAGAGAGAATAATGACAAATAAAAAAGCAGTGAGATTACCCGTTTCTCAAGCTTCCGAATCATATATAAAAGTTCGAAGAAGACCTTCTTGGTCTGAAAAGATAATTACCCAGAATTGGCTGATATTGTAGCTAGATAAAACTGCTCGTATCTCGCTTCACAGAAAAGTTAGGAAAAACGAGACGGTCTACATCGATTCCTCTTGTTCTTAGCTATCGATATGTGTATAAAGTGTTGGTGCACAAGCTTCCCCAGTCCAAAAACGTCTTGCTCCGGCGACCCATAGAAAGCCGGAGCGGGTGGAGCAAGTTAGTGTTGAATACCTCCACCTCATTTTTGAAAGGCCACAAGTTTTTTCACTCAACAACCTATAGAGCATTAAAAAGCCCAAGAAACAGGAATTCGACGTAGACCGTCTCTTTTTCTTTAGCTCCCCTCTAACTGGAGATACATGGCATTTTAAAAACATGTGTGTTTTTGTCAAGAAAATCCTGCGTGAAGAATGAATGAAGGTGCCTGATTGTCTAACAGTATCACAGAGCAAGACCTTGCCAGTAAACGTAGACCGTCTCTTTTTTATCTTTATCCTTTCTTTCAAAAATGAAGCACAAAATAATTAAAGAAAAATAGCTGGTCAGTCGGCGTATAAAATTGCTCGTATCTCGCTTCACAGAGGAGCTATGAAAAAAGGGACGGTCTACGTCGATCCTCCATGATCTCAGCTTTCGAATGGTATTAAGCACGTTAGGGCTTTTTTTGCTTCCCGGCTCTAAAAAGCACTTGCTCCGGTGACCGATAAAAGCCAATACATTGGAGGAGCTGGGTGGAGCAAGCTAAAAGTAAATATCTCAATCCCATATTTTTAAAATCTGGAAAGTTTTTTTCGCTCAGCAATCTATATACCATTAAAAGCTCAGGAAAAGGAGATTCGAAGTAGGCCGTCGACTACTTTCTAGCTCCCTCTACCGAAAGATACATTGCATTTTATCTGAAATCATGTCCATTTTCAACAGCAGATTTCTGCCCATCGAAGACCTAACCACTGTTGGTTATATATCTATGTTACAGAGCTAGTCTTCATTAAAAAACGTAGACCGTCGACTTTCTCGTAGCATTCATTTGGAGAGCAGAAAGTGAGGGCACAAAACCATTTGGTACATGAAGTACATAAAGTGCCTCATATTTCGCGTCATAGAAGACCTAGAAAAAAGTCAACGGTCTATGCCGATTCCACATGACTTCAGCTTTCGAATGGTATGTAAATTGTTGGGGCATTTTGCTTTCGGGGCTCACTTACCCCCTTCACCTTACAAGGATGGAAGTACTAGAGACCTCCTTCACCTGGAGAGGGCCCTGCTCCCCTTATAGCACCTATGCTTACAAGGAAAGGATACTCAATCACCGTGGCCATTTGGAATGCGATGTATACTGTAAGATGCATCTCGAAACGCTGATTTCAAATCTGTGCTCGATATCTGCGAAACAATCTTCTGAAGGAAGTTATGAACTTTTTTTCCAGAAAATTTGCGTATGTGCAGTTAAAACCACCGAATTTGTTCTAGGTTACCATTTGAAGCTATTGAAGAGAATCTGAAAAGGAATACTGTTGTATTATACCTATCTAAATCATATTCAGCATTTAAAAAGGAAGGAAAATTCTTTATTGATGATTTTGACCCTCCGCAGTAACGCAGTTTATTCATGGAAAAATAATCATAACTCCATCCAGGTTATTGTTTCGCAGATATGGAAGACAGTATTCGAACCAGCATTAAAAGGCGCATTTTTTGATCTACAAATCATTATGAATGGCCGCGGTGACCAAGTATCCTTCCCTTGTTAGAGGCAGTGTTCAAGCAAATCTGGACTTACGGGGATCTCACGTGGTTCGTAATTTTGGGACCCTAATTAAGCCACTGCCCAACCGGCAGCTCAGGTAATGCTCTAACGACTGAGATGTTTCCCTCGAAACTGGATCCGGGGATCGTGTTTCGCGTGGATTCTGGCGCAACCCATCAGTCTCGCGTAAGGACTCACGCGGAAATGATGGGCTGCGCCATGAATCCATGCGAAATGCGATCCTCGGGTCCAGTTTGGAGGCGTATATCTCAGCCGTTAGTGTGTGCCGCTTGAGCAGTGCCATAGTTAGGGGGGTAGAGGCCTATATGTCGCCGAAAAAGGGCGGTCCCCGCTGTCATTTGCGACAAATACGCCCTATTGTACATGCGCGGACATGCGTTCCTGCAGGGAATCCGCGGGGGACTCTTCCAAATTCGGCGACGTATGTCCTCCACCCTAGTTAGGGCCCCAGAAATACTTCCCACGTAAAATCCTATAGGTCTTTGCCTAGATGGCCTAGACGCTGCCTAAAGACACCGTCCACCCAGATTCTCGGCTTCCATGTTTTTGTCGTTCCGGGGCCTCCTCATGTCCCTGATTCCAAATATCAAGTCGAGAATCCGCGAAAACCCCGACAAACTTCTTTGCGGAGGACCCGCAGGGCGAGTTGTGGGAACGGTGATTGGTTAGGTGAGCTAAAACGGGCGAGACGAACGGCCCACTCAAGGGGGAGGAGTCAAGTGCTAATCGATCATCCAAAGCGATTTCAGAAGCAATTTTCTCGCTTGCAAAGTAACTTTTGGCAGCGGAGTTGGGCAAGTATACAGCTGAGGGCCACACTACTGTTAGGCATCAAAATCTCATCGAACACATTTTGAGAAGACGGTGCTTTAAGGATATGAAGAAGTTTTCTTCCAAGCTGCGTTTCTCAGATGGTCAGCTCACGCCCAGAGTTTCTGGTTTTCCAACGGAACAGTGCTGAAGCATCGAGTACAACTTCGCAAGAGTTTAATCTTGCAGTGTTGAAAAACCAAACCAAACTGGGCATCCACGGCCAATTTTCGCACAAATCTGCACCTCACAACATCCGCGCCGCGCGAAGACTCGCGCGCATCGTCTTTTGCCGCGTGGCTGTTTTGCGTGTTTCAAGGACTTTCTTGAAGGTCTCGAAGAGATTCAGCTATGACAACAACTTCGAGAAATCTCATCTGAGTTTGGAATCTAGCTTCTGTTTTCTCAATTAAACTTTATCAAGGGAAGGTCATTTCGTTCCTTCAAAAGAACATTCATGTCCGGGAACTTAGTGTTCTTTCTTATCGCTTTTCAGAACGCTACTGTTTGTCCGGATGTATGATTCAGCCAATGAGCTTGACGATTGCACTCACTTCTCGTTGTTTACAGATGCTTTACTTCTTCTAATTTATGCTTCGACTTTGTCGTTGTCCTGTAATCGACTGGTAACCTTCAACTTTTACTTGCATACTTTTGAGGGTAACATCCTGTTGGAAAGATGACGTCGATGGCGCAGTTGATGTTCGACGAGTACGGTCAGCCGTTCATCGTCATGCGAGATCAGGAGAAGCAGAAAAGGCTTACCGGCATTGAAGCTGTGAAGGTGAAATGTTAATTCCCGCACTGTTACTTTCAATACGACATTAAACAGCTGTTTGTCTTTGCAGAGTCTAAGTAGTAGGTTTAAGTAGTAGGTTAATCTAGCTTTTTTGTTTCCTTTTTCAGTTCAAAAATATTAGAGTTCAGAGTCACATTCTTGCTGCTCGATCCGTTGCGAATACACTGCGTACATCCCTTGGCCCTCGTGGACTGGATAAAATGCTGGTTCGTTGAATTTTCTTACTTTTGAGGTTTTAAACCTATATTTTTCTTGCTCGTCTTCCTTTCTATGCCTGAAGGCGTTAATTTGTTTAATTTATCTTCTTTTTTATGTTTGTAACATGCTTGGTGTTTCTTCATCAGCTCTCAGGAATTACATAATGATTCAAGGTATCTTCTGACGGAGAAGTAACCATTACTAATGATGGAGCTACCATCATGGAGAAAATGGATGTGCAACACCACGTTGCCAAACTAATGGTGGAACTCAGCAAGTCGCAGGATGATGAGATTGGTGATGGAACCACCGGAGTTGTAGGTTTGTGTTTGAAATTTTTGCTTGTGCAAATTGAAATTCTATTTTCTATCTGTTGCTGTACTTTACTGAGTATGAGTTTTCCAGCTCTCATGAGCGTGCTTATGTCATCATTTTTCCCTTTTATATCATTTACGGTTTCGACCACTTCCATCACCATCACTGCTCTTTGTGCCAGTTTACAGTTCCTACAAACTTTCCAGAAGATTTCATATTGTTTTAATTTTTTTCTCATTTTTGGCGTTCTCTTTCGTTTGAACCTTCGGGCGTTCTGATCAAACATATCATATCAAAGCATCCGTCCTTGTCTTTCAGAATGTATTGAATCAACTTATGTCTCTATCGCATTCACTGAATTCTGTCCGTGAGGACTTTACATTGCAAGGTTTTATTTTCTTACCGACATCTTAAAGGCAGCGGCTCGGCAGTTTTCATTTCCATCTTTTTGCATATTTTGGGCCTTCTCGACACGTATATCCCGAATCTGGACTTTAAAAGCGGTGAAAAGGCCTTTTTCGGGGCGTTTTTTTAATTTCCAAAAGGCAGCTCGGACGAGAATTTCCAGGAAAGTCGGGAGGCCCTTGCACGAAGACCCTGCTGCCTGTATTTTGGCTTTGTATAGCATGCACAATGCGGGAAAGCGGTTGCGGGGTCCCGCGCCGTCTAGCGGAGAATACTCGTCCGAACAAGATATTAGGGGAGCGAAAGGAGGAAGGGGAGCGGCCCAAGCGCCGCTCCCCTTCCTCCTTTCGCTCCCCTAATACCTTGTTCGGACGCTTGGGCCGCCCCCCTGGCTTGCAGAGCTCACATTTTCGGCGCGGAGTTGCGGTTTTGGTTCACTTGGAGGGCCTCCTATCCATCTGTGTCAAAATCTGAGGTAGGTCAATCTGCCGAGCCGCTGCCTTTGAGTGCATTCCTCATTAATGCTTCTATGCGAACCTAAAACCAAACGAATATGGTAATCTGCGTGCAATGACTTTTTGCGTTCATATAGTCGCTCGCAGCTCACGCATAGATATTTACACAATTTTGTTGCGTCTTGCTCTGCTCTGTATATCGGGGGTGGAGGATACTTGTTGCAGGAAAAAGTAGAGTGATTCATTGTGCTAATATTCTGTGAAATGTTATCAGTTTGTTTAGTTCGAGTCCTCATCTTACGTCAGGCAGAGAGGTTGAACGATACAGTCTGCCCCAATCGGGATCAGGCCGAACCGTCGGCTGAATTTGCGCGCTCGCAGCGCTAGGGAATTGCGCTGCATACGCGCGCTGTCGCAGAGAGTGAAGAGATCGAGGAGAGAGCAGACTAGCGAGCCGCAGATGTGGCGCGAAACGCTCGCGGCGCGGACTCCCGCCATGCCGATTTTGGCCTGGTTAGGATTGGGGCAGACTGTACAATGGTTGAAATGAGTATTATCAAATTGCATACGCAAAGGCCTTACGACAGAGCAAAAGGTAAACATCGCAAAACTCGCGCGCGCACTTGATATCTTCTTTTTATTGTCCTTTTTCTTTGGAAAATATTTGCTTGGTCATGACTGTCATGAGGCAATTCCCCGTTTGCAAATCTTCTTCAATCTTGCTGCTGTCTTCGATTATCTTATCTTTTTGAAGTTAATAAAGGCGATTATAGGTGGAAACGGCAATGGTGGTTGCGAAATCTGCAAAAATCCAATTAAAATTAACGAGACTTTTGACCACCTGCGTTCTCTCTGCACTGTAATGGGATGTGTAATGTATGCTCAATGTATTTTGAGCTGGCTACGATTTTGCGTAACTTGCACCTGCTGTTATGCGTACCGATCCTGTGCAAAACGAATTGTCTGTGTAGGCCGTCCGAAATGGAACGTATGTTGAACGTCGTGATCAAGCTACCTAATCAAATGCGATTAGCGACGGCGGTGATATGTGCTATAAGTCTTGAAAAATATTGTTTTGCTAGTTTTGATTTTTGGACAATCTTCGTGGTTTCGCTATCCGTCACGTACCATACTATAGAAATCCTTTCCAGTTAGAGTTACGGTAGAAAAGGGATACTGTCTTTTTTCATTATCGTTTATGTTTGAATTATAATGGCGTTTCTGCAAACGGCTAACGACTTAGAGGACTTGGAAAATCCCCGTATGTCATTCGCAACATTTTTGGGAAACTGTATATGAGCCCTCGGGGCGTGTAGTCCCGAGTGTTCGCTGTGTTGTGCACTCGCACGTCTCGTCGTGTCTAATGCACTCCCGAAATGCACTCTTCCGCTCCATCATCTGCTCTTTTCCAATTAAACTAGATTGGTGCACACACAGCGTTGCATTTTGCGCCTATTGGGAACAGCTTACAGTGTGTCTGTGTTGGAATCGAGCCGAAACTTTGGCGCAATTAGTTCTCGGCTAGGGGTTTGCGCTGCGTATGCGCACTGTCGTAGAGGACGTAGAGATTGCAGAGAGAGTAGACAAGCAAAGCGTAGACGTGACGCGAAATCGATGCGTTGCGCATTACTCCAATTTGGTCTGACACGGATTGGGACAGACTGCATATCGTCCGCTTATGATCAAGACGCGATTTGGCTATACGTCAAATGCCATTCATCGCACGAACTTCAGATCCCTAATGTAAATGATAACATGCATAATGTGCCTTTGAGCTATCGGAGTTTTGCCAAATCGCAGCGGCTTGAGACAAGCGCGCGATTCATGCTTTATCTTGGAGGCAATCGCTAAGCATTTCGCCATGCTCGCAGCACGCCCCTTTTGCTCTTTAACAGCTTTCTAGATCCTGGAACTTTGATTTCAAATATGCCGATTAGATCTTTGGTGGGGATTCTTCATATGAGAAGTCTTTCGGAGCCAACGCGCTCAAAAAAAACATCCGGATCGTTCGGATGATATTAGCTTGGACACGCGTTGCTTCTGAGGTAATCTGCTGTTTCCCATCTGGAAGATGTTAATCCATTTGGTCTAGCCATTTCTATCACAGACTTCTATCTGTGTCAATTAACTCCCTTTTTTCGCAGGAAGTATGCATCGGCAACACGAGAGGCTTGCGTCTCCAATCTCAATTACAATGCCCAAGCCACACGCGCGGACATTGCAACAAGGTCTGACTTGGCGATTGCGCTAGGGAGAGGGGGTACGTGATGTAAAAGCACCGCCCACCCTAAGTTGGGGACTTGAGCTTTTGGCAGCTTATGGTAGTACCCCCTATTAAGGCAGTGCCCAAGCCACGACGCAAAATGTCGCTTTGCAAGGGGGAAAAGCTTCGGAATAGCGAAGTTGCATGAGGACCCCAAGTCGGCACTGCCCTTCTCTAGTAATGCCCGCCCATCCGTGCGCGCCCATCTGATCACCTTCCGGAAAGCCGGCCTGCGGGCTCTTCGGAACGGGGATTGTCGGGGGTTTCGCGGATTCTCAACTTGATGTTCGGAATCAGGGACATGAGAAGGCCCCGAGGATGTTCAAAATATGGAAGTTGAGAATCTGGGTGGACGGTGCCTTTAAACAGTATTCATCTGGATTGAGGAGTGAGGGCAAAATTGAAGCGATCGCCTCGAGCATTTGATTTGAAATATCTGTATAAAGTGTTCCTTTACTAGCGAAGTAACGTCATAGTGAGTGTAATCTATAATTGTGGGAATGGTTTTGTCATAGTTCTTTCCCTGTCCAATAGTATGTTATTTTCATCTGAAGTTCGCCGAGCGAGGCTTTCTTTTGCCTTCCGTTACGCGCGCCGAATCGATAAGTGCAACAAAAACAAAGTTGAGGTGCTATGTAGCCATGGTTGCATAAATCGAAGTGCCATCCGTCACGCTGCCATGTTTCTTCTTTCCTACTCCAAGCCTAGTGCAACATTCGACTTAGGGCTTCATCTTTTTTTTCGAAAAGGCATTAACGCTGACAGATGCTAGAGTGTTATTTTGTGGATCTTCTGAGTAGTTTTTGTGAGTATGAGCTGTCGTTCCTTGCGTTTTCTATCTCCACGATTAGAGTGTTTGTGAATCATTATCTCTGCCACAACGGGCAAATCTGTGTCTATGATTTTATCACTTCATTGACAACGTCACCTTTCGTTGAATGCTATTATTTTTACCGTTTGACAACATAAGACCGTGTCGCTTCTTTCTCACCATACACTACTAAGACCGAGAAGTCCTTTTTCTTTGAGAGCGCATCTATTTTTAGGAAATCTGTGTAAATGCACACAGCAGTATTTTTCGCTACCTTTTCCCAATTCAGTGTGCCGCAGAAAATTTCCAGGAAATTGTAGCCAATCAAGGTGCATGAGTAATACCTTGCTGGCCTTGAACAGCTGTGCACGATGATCTCACGCATATTGCATGCTTCATTCTTTCAACAAAGAATTGTAGATTTGATTGCGCTCGTTTTTCATGCAATTGAATATGCCATTCAAATCTGAGATTGGTGAGTTTCAGCCAAGTAATTGCTTAGGTCTCGTTGCCGAAGGTACATTCTATAGTGAGAAAATCGCTCCAGAAGGTGGATGCTGCTGGGGTTGCCACGCCCATCAATTTGGTGCTGGAAGTAACGAGCGCGAGACTATATTCAGTAGTACCTAGGAATTTAGAAAATCCGCCCTTCATTGTAGAGCACCTTTTCGACATCTCTAGATATTCTAGAGTCTAGTTTCGGGTTGATTCTCCCAGACCACCCACTGTGGTGGGCGTGGCGACCCCAGCAGCGTCCAGCTTCTGATGCAAATTTCTCGCTTCGTAATACATTTTTTGCAGTGGAACTTGGATAGTTACTTAGGGGCCTTGCTGTCGTATACTGCATCACGCACGAACCTCGGATCTGCTAGACGGTGCCGTTGATAACCATGTTGACGTTGCTTATTTAACGATTTAACCGAAATAGCGCTGTAAAGGTGATCCTATCATATGATGCCATTCACTAGATACTTTCACATTGCACTTTACCATATCCTTCTCACACCTAGGAACTGGTTGGAGATTACCCTTTCTCTAGTGTTTGATTTATGAAATGAGCGCTCGATTCGCATTGCGCGCGCAGTAAGTTGTTCGCTTGACTGCTGAATGTCAACTTTCGTTGTCACAGCTATTTGCTTTGACGTCATTGTGCGTGCTTACGCTGCACTTCACTATCAGTGCTTTTCTCCAACGCGAGAGTGACACTGTTCATTTCATGGCTATCTGTGTCGTGATTTGATCCATTATCACTGATTTTTTTTAAAGAGTGCTTTGCAGTATGAGCTGTGTGTTCTCTAATTTCTCTGACGACATCAAGAAGTTTTCTGAGCTGAATGATACGCTTTCTGGTTAAATCAGCTTTTGCTTTACTTTATTTTCAATCAATCATTATACTTCCATCTAGCTTAATTTACAGGTTATCTGCAGAAAAATATACATGACGAGTTCTCCTTTTCTTTAAAAAGCAAGATTCTTATCAAGAAGTATGGTTATGCACTTACACATCGTTTCTGTTTTGCTTTTTGATTCTTCCTCGAATTTTCGAATGTTTTTTTCCAAATATGTGTCATGTGAACTTTAAACTAGCTTTTAGTAACTGAGGCACTTGTGTGCTAGCTCTCTTTTTGATTTTTATGTTGAGATTGATAGAAAATCATGTTTTTGAGTCGTTTTTTAGTCAGTCTCCAATCTCGCCCTGTAAAAACTTCATATAAGGTCTGTCATGTGACTTTTTGCAGTCGCTTACTTTCTCATAGCGTGATGTTTTGATGCGATCGTCGTTCTGGTGCTGGCTGGGGCATGCTTCTGGCTCACGGCGCCCCTTTGTATCGATTGCGGGGCCCGAAGAGGGGTTACTCGTGTGCTTTCCCATCCAGCATCAGCTTGCTCTGCTAAGTGCTTTAGGGCCTTGCTCATGTTCCTTTTATCTAATTGTAAGAAGCATTCCCTTTGGAGCGCCTCTAAATGCTACGATTGAAGTTGTGATCATTACGAGAGGTTTTCTTTCGGTAGGTGCCAGAGTAAGCGAATATTTTGTTCAAGTTGGGGTCCGGCGCAGATTTGACGTCACTTGGATTGATGCCAGTATGATGAATGATGTCCACCCCAACCTGAACAAAATATTCGCTTACTCTGGCACCTACCTTCCAGATGCTTCGCTCAAGTTATCTATTTTTATAGTTATTTCTCTAATCGGCTCAATGCATTTATATAGTGTTTTTATGTCAATAGTCTTATCTGCTCCTCTTCTAGAGTGAATAGCTACTCCTAAGCTTTTATGAGTCCTGCAAATATGGTCAAAATCCGTCCTACATGATTTATTTATTCATGCACTGCGCTGATGGCTTGGCAGAAACAGAGAACATGCAATTTGCTTGGTTTATCTTATTTGATCATCATTATTTGAGTTCAGCTAGGCATCAGTTTGCAAATTATTTCCGGAATTATGCATTGACGCTGTGACGTCGTAATTTATGTTAGTATTTTACTTTATTTTCGAATTCTTACTTTTTACCTTGTTTAATCATCATTGTCAATCTGAACTTACAACCATTTCGTATCGCTCTCTGGTTTTTTCGTTTGGTTTTTCGAGCCGTCTGGGTTGGTACGGCGTTGCTAATCTTCAGAACCCCCTAATGCGTTAAGAGTCACATGCATACTTTCATTAATTGTAGTTCTCTTATAGCAAAGATACTATTCCATTCAATTTCTCTAAGTCCAGCCTTCTACAAGTCTTGATTTTTGATTCTGTGCATTGATAGCGCCCGCTGTACCCCCCTGAGACACAGCTCCATGTCTCACCTATGCCTTTTGTTTCCAATGTCGGTCTGCCGCTTTCATCGGCGTCTCCTATGCATATAAAACGCTTTTGTGGACTTTCACCCCCATTGCGTGCTGTGAAATTTCAGCTCTGAGGTTGCTTGAGACTCCAAGATTGTTTTCATGATATAGACGGCAGCATAGATTGCCAATTGCTGCCTCTCAGACTTCTCTATCGTTCTTCAAAGCTTTTGTGATGAGCAGTTCAACATGGGGGAGTTGAAAAAAAAAGCTTTCCGTACATATCTTTTCTCATGGTTCTAGAGTCAATGGGAAAGGATCTGAGCATCGTTTTTTTTTGCTAAAAGTGAATTAAGACATAAAAAACCAAATTCACGTTCTTATAACCTCTAACAAAAGTTGCTCAAGGTTTTCTCTTGCCTCTTTGACGTCTCACTCAATTGAATGCATAACTGTCTCATAACTTAGTGAATTGTTCCGCTTTATTCTCCCATTTAGATTGTCCTATTGAATTTGCCACAACGAAAGTATAACTACGACTTTTCAGTTGCGCGCACAAAAGATCCTACGCAGCTTGTGGAGGGATCTCCATATATGCAATATATATGCTTTTATTCCAAGAGGGCTTCATCAATTATGCGAAGGCAGCCATATGCAAGGCAGTGTTTCTATCACACTTTTTTGTCATGGTTCATTTTCAGAATCGCAGAAAAAAGTTCAAGAAAATTCCAATCGTTCATCAAGTCAAAACAGGCCATTTGCACATTTACATAACTAGTAGGCTACTTTCAAACTTGCGACTAATTCTCGGGGGAAGGGGAGGGGCTTCTTTGCTCCGCCACTACTAGTCAGTTATTGTAAGTATTTTTTGTTCCTTCTTATGTGCTTGGGATTGAAGCAATAATTTACTCAGTGCTGGCATCTGTAATTACTAGCCTCGTCTTTATCCTTCTACGTCGGCAACAATCCGATTGTTTGCTCTTAGTAAGCGACGCCTACCTTCTGTCTATATCGTTGTATGCCTAGAACAGACAAAAAAGGTTCCTTAATCATGATATATCGACATCCTCGGGTGTCATGCGCATTCCTGCGTGATATCAGGTGCTATTAGATGGATAGCGATAATCGCAGATAAGCCTGCTACCGCCTTCTCTCAATCTCTTAAACTCACTCTCTCTAATGAAGTATCTTGTTTACTATGGTATAAGGAAATCTGCTTATGTCTAGGAATGCGGCTTGCACTTCCACTAGTTGCTTTGCTCACCTCATTGCATCTGATCTCACCTATCAGATCTTGTCTTACTAATAACTTTCGATATTATCACTCCACACCCATCGTCAGCCTTTTTTTGCCTCTTTTTTTTGTCCCATAGCTAGGGGCCGGCGTCGACGTTTCTTTTTCATTTTCCGGTCAGCCTTCGTCAAAACAGTAAATCAATGCGCGATTTGCCTATCGATCAGTCTATCTCTCCGTTCGTTTCTGCATTTCGGCCAATATCTGGTATATGGGCTTTTTCGTATACTTCTACCGTATTGCTTACGTTGCTTACACTTCCTATCTGGTTCTGCATTGGCATTGTCTGACCATTTCTCAGCACTACGAGTGTATTCTCATCATTATTCATGCTTAGCCACCTGGTTTATCATTCATTAGCCACCTGGTTCATCATTCATTGTGCGTCGTAAAATTTGATCACACGAATTCGTCGTGTGTCTTGTTGCTAAGCACGGTTTTTTTAATGTATTAAAATCTTTTCTTGCTAATTTTACACATTGTTTTGGCTTTAGTGCTCGCTGGCGCTCTTCTCGAGGAAGCTGAACGATTGCTTGATCGTGGAATTCATCCGATTAAAATTGCCGATGGCTTCGATTTGGCATGCAAAAAGGTAGAAAAAGTTTTTTGTCATACTGAGTGTAAATGGTCGTAATTGGCTACGTTGATTTTTTCGCTTACTCACCATAGATGTAATGCACCCATTAATCAATTACAGGCATTGCAAACTCTTGACAGTATGGCAGACAAATTTCCTGTGGCTGATAGGGAACGTCTTGTAGAAACGGCGCAAACTTCCCTGGGAAGTAAAATGTTGGTTGGATACGAGTTTTTCTTTTTGAATTCGCATATTGTTTTTATTTTAGTGTGAACAGATGTATTAGACAGTTTGCCGAAATTGCCGTAGATGCAGTGCTATCAGTCGCTGATCTTGAAACACGTGATGTCAACTTTGAACTCATCAAAGTGGAGGGAAAGGTTTGCTCCTTCTATTTTTTAGCTTTCATTACGTCAGGGGCTCTATGATTGCCCATTTTTCGCAATCTTTTGCATGCTTCCTGTTGATTCTCTTGGTTCTTTGTCTTTTGTACCAGCTGTTCTAAATTAGTTTTGAAATGTCATGTACGCAGTCTTTGGTATTTTCTTCAAAGATATTTTCTAAACAATGTCAGTTTCGCAATATTTGACTCTAGCATTCTATTTTTGTTAGTCTGCAAAAATTCTTGATCAAAGTTTGCTTCCCATAACCTTATCATCCGCCTACTAGCATGTCCTTTTCAATATGTTCAACGTGTTTGCACTTTTCTTGAAGAGCAAAATTGTGAACTTAACATTTGCACGCTCATCTTGAGCTAGACTTTTCATGAATACAGAGTCTGCTCGATGAAGCGAACTATAGTGAGGAAAATTAGGTTTTATACCTTATTCCGGCTTGCTTAATATTCAGAGCTAGAGTTTCTGAATTTACAGTACTACAGAGCACCGTGAAAGTTCGGAATAAAAAAAAATTTTTTTTGAAAAGACTTATCGCAAATATGAACGTTATATAATCTCAGAAAATGAAGTTTTGATGTCTTATTGTTTGTGCTGGAATTCATGCTTATCTCTACATGTTAAGGGAATTATTTTCGTTTCCTCGTATTTCGATCATAAAATTTATGTGTGTTCTGCTACTCAAAGTAATGCGCGTTTGAATATTTTTCTGTGTTCATCTTTCATGTTGATATACAGTGATGATGGCGACTTTATCATTTGATCTTCTCTTTATCTCATCATAGCTTTGATCACAGTAACTAGCTTTAATTTCTCATATTCGAGCTACCAGAGCTTGCGTATTTAAGGTCGGTGGCCATTTGGAGGATACTGTGTTGGTCAAGGGAATCATAATCGACAAGACAATGTCGCATCCACAAATGCCAAAGGAACTGAAGGATGTAAAAGTAGGTGTATCTTATCTGAAGTTTGGGCCATATTTGCCTTCAGTACGTTGCGGCCAATTTGGTGTTTTCAATGCATTGAGCTATTTTTGTTTTCTGTCTTTTCGCTTAGTATATAAAGCGCCTTATGTTCATGACTCCCTAGAGATTAGATTCTAAGAAGATTAAAAGCTTTTTCTCCTTATCAGCTAGTTGTTGTACTTGCTTCGCATACATCTGCTCAATGTCAATCTATTCTATAATTTCGAGTTATATTCTTATTTTACTTTTTAGGGACAGAAAAACTGTCACCTCTGTCTTTTGTTTGATTAGTGCGAGATATGGAGAGCTAAGTGTACATGTTTCGATGACGTAACGATTTCGTAAATGCTGCAAATTCGTGTAGCTTTAGTTATCCCTCCTGTATCTGTGATTGAACCGAGATCATCGCTAGAAATGTGCTTTTCGCGTTATGAGCTGTTTATGCTTAGAAAAAAAAGGATATGTCGTAAATTATGAATGAATTATTCTTTATTGGAAGCTTGCTTTGCTCTACTCAATTTATTCGCTTATAAAGCACGCATGAGCGATTTCATGGTTACCTCACTTGGATGATTTATTCAGGTCGCTATTCTCACTTGTCCGTTTGAACCTCCAAAGCCGAAGACTAAGCATAAGCTCGATATCACCTCTTCGGAAGATTTCAAGGCTTTGCGCAACTATGAAAAGGAGACATTTGAGACTATGATCAAGCAGGTGGGTTTCTGCAACAAAAGAGTTACTGTTATAACATAGATCGCATGTTAAAGCAACACATTTTAAAGTGGCCATTTTTTTCTCTGATTTGCATTCTAAAGTGTCGAATTTGGTTCTTTATTTTTTTTAGGTCAAAGACAGCGGTGCCACTCTGGCCATCTGTCAGTGGGGCTTCGATGACGAAGCGAATCATCTTCTGCATCATCATCAGCTTCCAGCTGTGCGTTGGGTAGGAGGACCAGAAATAGAACTTCTTGCAATTGCAACCAATGGCCGCATTGTACCTAGGTTGGTGAAATCATCTGGTTGTTTTCTTTTCATCAAGAAAAACTTTAGGTTTTCTGAGCTATCTCCAGCCAAACTTGGCTCTGCTGGTTTGGTGCGAGAAATCACATTTGGAACCGCTCGCGACCGCATGCTTTCTGTTGAGCAATGTCCAAACAGCAAAGCGGTGACGATCTTCGTGCGTGGCGGAAACAAAATGGTTAGTTTCTGCTTTATATCTTGGTTGGATTGTGCTAAATCAATGCATTTCAGATTGTTGACGAGGCTAAACGTTCGCTCCATGACGCACTATGTGTGATTCGTAATTTAGTTCGTGATGATCGTATTGTTTACGGTGGTGGATCAGCTGAAACTGCTTGTGCTATAGAAGTTGCGAAGGAAGCTGATAAGGTGTGCAATTGTGATTTTCGTTGAAACGCTCCGAATGCTTCACTAGATGACGAACATTTTAGATTGAAGGAGTAGAGCAATACGCCTTCCGCGCGTTTGCTGATGCCCTCGAAGCTATCCCGATGGCGTTAGCAGAAAACAGTGGGCTCAATCCGATAGATGCAATTACCGATTTGAAGGTGCGTTGCATTCAACATAGGACTTTTTATTGCAGTTTTGATTTACAGGCAAAACAAATCAAAACTGGAGAGTCTTATCTGGGCATCGATGCTCTGTTCAAGGGAACTAACGACATGAAAGAACAAAAAGTTATTGAGACACTTGTTTCAAAGAGGGAACAAGTTTCGCTAGCTACTCAGGTAAGTCAATTGATGATTTTTAGCGCGATTCGTAATAATAATAATAATAAATAATAATAATAATAATAATAATAATACTGTTCAATCCAGGTTGTACGTATGATCCTCAAAATCGATGACGTTCGAGTCCCCGATGACGAACAATCTCAATATTGATATCATAGTCAGAAACATCCAATCATTTTTTGCGGAAGTCACAAAGGTCTTACCCCGAAGTTTTTTGTTTTTGCTATTCAACTCTATGCATTATATGCTTTGCTTTGTAAGAAAAACTTTGAATGTTCCTTACATGGCAAGTTCAAGCTCTCTCCGTTCCATTGTTGCCGTGGTCCATGCTTTACTACGGAATCCCGACTTTTGTTTTGCAACGGTGCTCATCCGTTTGCTTTTGCTTTGTGAGCAAAGCTATTGTTTTAGTTCTTGTTGTCGAATAAATTTGTTTGATGATGTTTTTCCAAGTCTACTCAGGGTTTTTACCCCAATATCTTGTTGTAGCAGTCATTCCTTTGTTTTGGAATTGAAAGTATTTGTCCTTCTAGTATCGAATGAAGATGGATGCATAAGCGTCATCATTCGTTTAAATGATGTCTTCCGTGGTCACCTCCAATGGTCATGCTGTTACCGCAGCGTCACTCAATAAAGACAAGGTACATTGCGTTCAAGTCAAGTTGTTTTTCGTATCTCAAATTCTGAATATTACAGCGTGTGCAAATCGTGACGAATGACGTATCTCCAGGCGCTGACCTGCTGGAGACACCCAATCCGCAAAGGCTTCTTGGCCTTGGTGGAACAACACCGCTAGGAGGTAGCACATTTTTCGATTCCGAAGTTATTCAAGTCATTGTATGTAATGTATGCTATCGAAGAATTGATTTGTTTGTACTGTTCCAGATGTATTGCTTTCTGTCGCAATGCACTTTATTCCTTTTTTCTAAATGATAGCATGCTAACTGCATTGTCTTTATATTTTCACTTCATGTTTGACTATTATCATTATATCGCTTTTCTAAAGCAAACTATGATATGTGTCCAGTGACCTCGGCTTAGTTCCTTCCGTTTGTTTTGATTAACATTTATTGAAATCTGAGATAGTATATTAAGGCTGTTTCGTTCATGCTAGTCGCTTCAAGGGCAGCTAGAAATTTACGGGTCTGGGCAGTAAAATTGAATGTATAATGCGAGTTTCAATTTTACCTTATGTCTCACTGAGAGTGTCGCCGGCTCATGCTAGGATCTCGCGCGGCCGCTGCACTCGCTTTTGTGATGAGTTCGCGAACGTATCTTCCACGCATTTTCTCGCACTAAGGTAAGCGTCAGACTAACCGACTACTTTGTTCAGCTGCAGAAGGCGCACAGAATTAACGTCAAATTTGCGCACGATTGCCTGCTTCAGCTGTAGGACCGCGCAAAATTAATGTTGAATCTGCGCGCGTTCTGCGGCAAACAGGCAATTGTGCGCGGATTGAACGTCAATTCTGCGCGCCTTATGCAGCTGAACAAAATAGTTGCCTAGTCTGGCGCCTACCTAAGCAGCGATCGAAGGTTGGAGAGCAGGGAAAATGTCGAGAGAAACTCTTGCGAACGCGACGCAAAAAAGAGCGAGGTGGCTGCGCGGGAGCTCAGGCCCTAGCCGGTGACATTGCCGGCAAGACAATAGTTCATGTCGTCTTCATTCACTCAGTTAACATAAGAAAAATATCCAGTTTTCAGTTCAATGCAGCGCTAGCAAATCATTTAGTAATTATTTTCAGATTTTCCCCTCACTGCTGAGCTGATGCAAAAATGTATGACAGTGAATCCTTTCGAAGCAAAATTCCGAGAGGCGAACAGAAAGCTGACGACCGGAGCGTTGGAAGCCAATGGCTTAGTGCCAGCTACGATGTCGCTTTCTAATACAAATGGTAAGACAGATTTTGTTTGCATGAATGTTGTTACATTTCATTTGAAGTTTCAGATAACAACAGCGAAACTTCAGCCTTCTCATTGCTGAAGTTACCCTCTTCACTGTCGGATTCTCCCGGAATATTTTCAAATATCAGTATTCTTCAAACGGATGCTGACGGTGTTGTGAATGAGAATTTGAAAACGGCTGATATTTCAAAATTACTTGCGCAGGTGAGAATCGATCGTGTTATGCAATTGAAAATAGCAAACGCTCATGCTTGCAGATGAAAGATAGTAGCTCATCTTTTGCGGATGGTTCAAGCACACAAGCGCCCCGAACTGCAGACGTATTGAACGCCGTGCTTGATATGCATTCGGATCGATTGCATACAATCAATTACATAAACAAGTATGTTCAAGACTCAATTTTTTGCTTATCCTATTTTGTTAAAGGCAGCGTCCAGGCAGATCTGGATCCATGGGGCTTTTACTCGGAAAGTACTTTTGGGGACCTAACTAAGGCACTGCCCAAGCAGCAGCGCGGGTAGTACTCTAACGGCTGAGATATTCCCATCGAAACTGGACCCCGCGATCGTATTCGCGAGGATTCATGACGGTTTCGCGCAAGGATCCACGCTTTGCGCCATGAATCCATGCGAAGTACGATCGCGGGGTCCAGTTTCGAGGGGAATATCTCAGCCGTTAGAGCACTACCTGAGCTGCCGGTTGGGCAGTGGCTTAGTTAGGGCCCCAAAATTACTATTCACGTGAAATCCCCATGTGTCCAGACTTGCCTGGACGCTGCCTTTAATGTAAGATGATTAAGGCATCATGCCCCCACACTGAAGTTGGTGAAATCATGATGCTGTATGATAAGGGGGGGGCCTAATCAAGTAATCGACCAAGTACAAGTACAAAAGATGATTTGCGAAGCGAGAAATTCGCTTCAGAAGGTAGAAGCAGCCAAAGTGGCTCCGCCTATCAACCTGGGTGGTTTAAAGATAACAAGTCCACGCATGGGTTTCCCTTTATTAGGATCATCAGATTTGCGACGTTTCTGTCTACCTTGAAATCCAATAAACGGGCTTGTATCTTCAAACCACCACGTTGATGGGCGGAGCTAGCGTGGTTACGTCTAGCTCCTAAAGAGGATTTTTTCTTCGGTATTCATATTTTGCAGCAGGACTTGGGCGAGCACTTAATTAGAGACACCATTATTATACAGCATCAAATCTCCCCCTTAATATGGAGGGTGCCTCTAAGCTGTTTTTGTGTTATGGTCGAGCTGTGAGGTATAAACATTGACTACACCTCTACGAGATTGACTCAATGTTAAATTCGTCACATTGTGGGAACCTAAAATGCAGTAGCTCTAGGATGGGAAATCGCTATAGTATAAAATAAAACGTAATATAAATCGCTTTCATTTCTAGACCAGACTTTTCGATGTTTTCTTCGTTGACTCCCACTGGTTCTGCGCCGAATTCAGCCGGCATCTTAGCCGCAGCCGTTGCCCAATGTGCTCCTTCGACAAGTGGAGGATTGCTGGTGCCAACGCCTCAAGGTGCTACTTTGAGCCCTATACATTCTCCAAGGAGTAAAGAGCAACAACAGCACACTACTATCGAGTAAGTAGTTGACCTCTTTGCCATTCTCTTCGTATTGCTGTTTGGAACGTAAAAGGTGTTTTTTTAAGGAAAAGATCACCTGGTGAAGCGGAAAGCGTTGCATCTTCACAAGCCCACTTACTGTCTGCTCTTCATTCAGCATCTTCTGCCACAGCCCCTGGTGGTGTCGATCCTGCTGGCTGGGATCCACGTGATGTGAAGCCTGCAGTCAGCAAACATGTAAATTACACTGTTTTTTCTGAAATCTTGTTTTATCATATTTCTTAAGTATCTAAATTTCTATCTATATAAATATGATATTTTATCGTTCACGTATTCCATTTGTTGTTCTGGTACAAAACAGCGTTGCATGTTCAGAGTGCGTTTTTAGAATACTACTGCCTATTATGAACAAGAAGACAATCTGATGCCATCATCTTGCGGCGGGCTTCCACCAGCAGTAGCCGCTCCTGGTACCTCTCACCTTCTATCCCTGGATGATCGTTCTTCTTCGAAAAGGTTTGAAAGAGTATTCATTTCATTTTCACTGCACAATGGCCTTTTTCAGTTCGGAAAGTACACCTGCTCATACGCCTGGCAGAGGACGTGGACGGGGACGTACATCCTTGGCCCCTGATATGCCTCCAGATGAAAGGAAGTATGTGCAAGAGTTTTTCCTTTTTTTATAATGCTGCTCGTGCTTCAATCACGTTTGATACATAGTTGTTGGAAAGTTCCAGAATGACCATTCTTGAGCGAAATAAGGCGGCTGCTGTTCGTTACCGAAAACGAAAGAAGGAAGAGCACGATGATATGATCACTCGTGTGCACACCTTAGAGCAAGAAAAAGTACAACTTAATGTAAGTTTTTTGAATATATACTAGTTTATCAAATTTTGAAAAATCTTTTTGATTTGTACATTCGAAACCGCAAAGTGATGCGACATATACTATCATGAATTTGCTTTGTGTTTTACTGCATTAAAATCACACGGGAATGTCATACATATGTAACTATTTATTCTCTGCACTTCAGACGCAGAATCAAGTGCTTCGACGTGAACTTGATCGGTTAACAGCTTTACTTCGAGAGCGGGAGGCTCGCTGTGTATGCTTGAAAGGAATGCCATTGAGTACGGATCCGAGGGCCGAATCTCCGGTGGATGTAAGTTCGGAGTTTCTTGTTTGAAGTTTTTTAAGGCTCAGTTTTCTTTGGCTTACGAGTATCGTCGCCTTTCAACTATGCCTTTCCATATTCCAGGTTGATCTTTTATCAAATCCTCAACATAGCAGTATGTACATACCACAAGCACAGCAACTGATTAATGGTCTAAGCTTGCCGAATGGAATGGGCTTGAAACGACCGAAGATGTAGAATTATACCGAACTTCTCTCATATGCTTAATTCATCATCCTGGTAGATTGAGTAGTATTGTATAGAAATTATGTTATAGAGAAACTTCCTGGTGTATTGATCTTGTGACCACCTCAGTCTTATTCATGTTCTTCTTTTTCTTACCGTGCTGCACCCTTTTCCTAACAATCATTCATTCGAGCAGGTCTCGATGTACTTGCACATTTCACCTATCGCTTCAGTATCAAATTCCAACGAGTTGAGAGTTACAGTCTGTGTCTGTCGCATACTCCTTTTTCCGCAAAGACACATCCGCCGCGCGAAAGTTTGGCGTAGCGGCCTCTGATCGGTCATCTCGATCAAGCCGAAGAACGCAGCGCGAAAGCTTTTACGAGGCGGTTACTTTGATGGAAAAGGGAATCAAGGCTGACACAGCCTGTACGTCTGCAGCAGACGTTCCCCATATCTGTCGACGTGGCAGTTCTATTTCGTATAACCACCCTCCGTGACTGTTCTATTTTTACCCTCGTTGCCATGTCTCGTTGTCTCAGCTAAATTATCATGAATAGTCAGCTTTTCGCCTCATTTGAAAAGAAGTACAGTCAAAAGAAGTTCTTGTTACAGAGCGCTAAATCCTAAGCGGTTTTACTTATATTTCAGGTTGTCAAGAGTTGTGCGCTTGTTTATCATTATATTTGTTTAAGGCGTGAGCACTGGCACTGAGTGACATAGATTGTAAATTTTGGATATCCTGCTAGTGATGACGCCTCGCCTCAGTTGTACATTGTTTTTCCAGAAACTCGCATGACGTTTCCGCTAGATAGCGTTCTCTGTCTCATATTGTTATTTGGTGCATTTTTCAGAGTCTAATATTTGTCTACATCTTTACGATATGAAAAAAAAAGTATGACACGTTGAGCAACTTTACCCGTGTTACTTCTCGGTTGTAAATCGATTGCACAAATAAATTTGTTTGTTCGAGACGGAAATAGTAGTGAAGCTTGAATTTATAAAGATAAAGGCTTGCCTTTGTGCGGGTGTTATCAGCTAGCAACTTGCTGGATCATTTCGAGTACCACTTTCTCTCTTAAGAAAAGGAAACTCTCTGAGTCAACCGGAGGAATTGATCGACCGACCGTCATGACCACTCTGGCGCGTATTTGTTTGCGGATGCTGTAGCTCATATAACTTTTGATTCAACTGGCTTGGCGGCTAGAAGGCGGAGCTTGTAACCTAATTAAGTCCGCCCGCGCCCACTGCGCAGTCTGCGTCTTTGTCGCGCGCGTGCTCTCTGACCATTATCTAGCCTTAGTCAAACCGCTCGCGAAGCCCCGCCTTCCAGCCCCAAGCCAATTGAATCAAACGGTGAAAAAAACACGGCATTCCCGGTGTTGATGTAGACACCCATTATAGGAGCGTGCAGACCCTACGCTGAAGACTGCACAATCTCGGTAGGCAGATGCTTGTTTAAATCCACTCATTAGCTACTAGCCATATTGCGCCATTCGTTGTAAGTTCCAGCTTCGTCGATAAAAAGGAATAGGGGTGGAAATGTGGTAGTGGGAGGCATGGACGATGTGCGTAGCTGAACAGAAAGTCGGCTCGAATACGGAGCATGACTGTGATGCGGAGTGCGCCTAGTCGGCATCGCTAGAGGACGACTTTCCTGCCTGTTCACTTGCTGACACAGGAACATGCTAGCTGGCGAAGTGTCACGGCCATACCTTCGATAGTTTAGAGACAGGGCGTCAAAAGTGAAGGTTGTTTGAACATCAAACGTCATAAATAGTGAAGGTTGTTTAAAGAAGATCAAAGAAGAGAATATGACGTAAAACAGATATAAAAAGCAAAAGAAACTGTTGAAAACCGGATAAAAACGCTGCAAAGAAGTCTGAAATCTTTCATTTGGCTGCGTTTCAAAGTGCAAGTTTTCGCTCCAGGACCAGCAATTCGCAACACGGGGTTTTGATTTTTGATGCGTCCTTTAAATTTTTACCCCCGCATTGACTTTCTGGACGTTGTGTGAATTCTTGCGCTTATGGTTCTGAGCAATAATCGCCCAAGCTGGAAAAAAATCGATGCAAAAGCATTGAAACAGAACAAGGTAAAGAAAAACGCACTTTTTACGATTTTTCGCAAAAAATTCCACCATAATCGAAGAGGTAAGGGCTGGGTGGTTATCTGTATTATGAACAGAAGCAAGATCTATAGAGTGCACGAAAAACCGCGTGAAAAGAGTTAAACTAGGAGAAAAGCAAGAGATTTTCGAAAACAAGGTTTTTGCCGAATTTCTCCATCAAATCAAAAAATGTGGTTCTGGGACGTTGTCAGCGTGAAAATAGAGATCAAGAGCTTCAAAATGATATATAGCTTGCTAAAATTGGGCTCGAAACAACGAAGAAAAGGGTACCAGAGTTAAATGCCCCGCACCCCGCGTTTGGGGTAGCGAGAGAGCGCGCAGCGCGCGGAGACGCAGATGAGCAGCGGAGGCAGACCAGAGCCGACGGGGCATTTGACTCTGGTAGTAGATCTCTGCGGGGTCTCAACGAAACTCTGCAACATTATATATCATTTCGATCGTCATGACACGACGAGGAGCTGACAACGTCCCAAGCTTTGAAAATCACTCATTAACGAGATAGACCAGCGTTTTATGCGCGACTCTCTGCGCAAGATTCAAGCGCGGTTTCTCGTTTTTATCTAACTCCAATAGCTTTCCTAAACTTCTGAAACTCGATTTTATTCAAATGAAAGGATAACTGAGAAATTTTGTCGTGAATTCTGGCAAAGATTCCACAGAAACCTTCTTTTTAAGGTAAAAAAGGCTATAAAAACGCAAATTCTCGGTTTCACTGAGATAAGCTAGAGATATTATTCCCTATATTTGCTTCATTAACATTCGTTCCGATACAGTCAGGATAATAACATCCGGGGCGAAGCCCCGGATGACTTCTATTTTTTTTCCAGGTGAAGGTTGTGTCCCCCCATAGCCCTCAAAGTGAAGGTTACCAGAGTACGTGGCTCTATGTATCGAGGGTATGGTCACGGCTCCATATCAGCTGGCCATCGATGTACCGAACCGAGAACGGCCTTTAAGGGACCCCACGTAAGTGGGCACTCGCATTTGTCCGCTTGCTGGCAGTTGGGTGCGACTTTCGGCCAGGACAGAGCTTGTCTTGTTTGCAGATACATGCTGGTTTTAGGCCAACAACTTGGCATCGCCTCGGTGTGCATATGCACGCCTAGACACACAATTGCCTGCTGCAGCTATAGTATATGGGTCGGATGCCTTGCAATGAGAATCGGCAAAAGTCGACCTTCAGTGGCCGTATTCATCAACGAAACCCGTGGGTTCCGGAACCCACTGGGTTAGTGCTTTTGATGAATATTGATTCTACTCCAGAGAAGAATCGATATTTATCAAAAGCACTAACTCAGTGGGTTCCGGAACCCACGGGTTTCGTTGATGAATACGGCCACAGAAAAGCGCCGGTCGAAGAGGTCCGATCATGCACACTTTACGTGATAGTCAACTGATAATCAGTTCGTCAATCATGTCCCAAAAGAGGAGAACCGCAGCGCTGCTATAGTACACTCAGGGCACAGCAGAGATGCACTGAAGTCAAACTAGACTTCGTTTCTCGGGCAATTAGCAGAAGGCATATCGTCACCTCCAACATGCTCAACATTAAAGGCAGTGTCCGGGCAAAAACTCGATTTTGAGATTTTATGCTTACCCGGGCCTATTCGCTACGCTGAATCCGAAAATGCACATTTTAGAGCGCGAAAACGGCGAAAAACGGCTTTAACACAGGAGGAAAATCAGCAGGTGGGCGAGGCCCTCCCCACTGTGAATTCACGCTCCCAGCTTCTGGAGCGTTCTTCTCGCTTCCGGTTTTAAGTCAATCATTCGCACTTGGCCGGTGGCGATGTTAGGAAGGTTAGCGGAATCGCGAAGACCGCTACAGAAGCTGGGAGCGTGAGTACATTGGGGAAGACCCAGCCCATTTGCTGTTTCCCTCCTGCGTTAGAGCCCTTTTTTGCCGTTTTCGCGCTTTCCAGAGTGAATTTTCGGATTCAGCATGGCGAATAGGCCCGTATAAGTACAAAATCTCAAAATCGAGTTTTTGCCCGGACACTTCTTTAAGTTGGTACGTGGCAGACATGCTCCAACGTACTCTTCCCCACGTGGCGCGAAGTTTTGCAGTGTTAGTCCAAACTACGTCATGTAAAAAAATTTGGGAATTTACATGTTTCGTACGTGTTTTCAGATTTGATGGATTCCAGACCATCACCGAACCAAATGTGCTTGTTGGAGCTTGAATGTGGAAGGCTTCACGAAAATGAACGCAACGCACCGTCGAAGACGCGGAAACGCACTTCTCCAGCATGATAACTTTTAAGTTGAGCCTTGCTTACTGGTCTTCATGAGAGAATCTTAGAAATGTAACCTCTTTAGATGGTCTGGGAATTACTGTTCTCAGGTAGGAGGACTTGCGATGGTCAAAGTCTTGTTTGTGTTTATGCTTATGTATTACGCACAAAGCGTGTCATAATCACGACAAAACACGAGAACATAACCAGAAACAAATACAGAGAACAAAACAAAAAAACATCCAGTAGGTTAGCTTAAGTCCAGTCACCAAATGTTTTAGAAGAAAATAGGGAATTAAGCTTGTATAGACTATGTATGAAGTAATCAAAGTAAAGTCTCCTGTCCTCGCTATGCGCTTCATGAGCAGCATTGAGGAACTAGTATTTTCACGCCTACCACAAGTATACTGCCAGTATATCAATGTTTGCTGCGTCATAACTTCAACATAGTCCGAAATGGACGAGTGTTTTAACATCCTCAGCAATCGCGAGACTGAGCTTACATGGGAAGCCCCTCGAGGTGGTTGGATCCTATTTAAACACCCAGATGCACTTACCTGGCAATATCATGCATGTAAAATGGTATTGAAAGGAAAGCTCAAAGAGTATCCTAATACAGCTACATGAGCGCACTCCACAGCACTCAAAGCTGCCATAATACGTAACATGTATACAGGGCTCCTAAATTGCAGAGTCGTTTGCACCAGCGGTCGCGCGACCGCGTCGCGCCCGGGCATCAATGGCGCCGCCTCGATCGATGGCGCCGGCGCCGGCAAGATGCCCGGGCGCGACGCGGTCGCGTAGCCCTGTAAAACTGCTATAGGAGTATGCACGGGCCACGAGAAGGCTACAAAAATTTCGCTCAGTAATGATTACACAGTCACACTGTCACGAATAGGAAAGTCTAATGAAGATTAAGTGGCAATAGGCAGTGTAATGACACTAAACTCCAGCTATGTATATAGGTCATCCGCGCAGGGCGCGGAGTGTGCGCAAGGTGTGTATTGGGCGTCACTCCTCTTCATTCGTGCACTCCCGTTGCCTGTTTTCTCTGCGTCTCCTCCAGTCATGAACTGCCTCGAATGGACGCAAGAGCGTTGCTCTCCGAGCACAGCGGCCTATACCTTTCATTTGCGATAAATCAGCAGGGCAAATAAACAGTGGATCCCTCGAGCCGACTACAAGATGATGTTTGACTAGTTGATATACCAGTGATATGCAAAGCATAAAAAAACAATTGGTCAGAGAGAGATGCTACGATACGCAATGTGAAGGCTGCTGCATGACGAATGCGCAGAAGCAGTATTAGCTGAGTGGGCGCGGACGCGACGCACGCGTATCTTCACCGTTGTAAGTCCCCTACCTCTGCGCTTTGGGGCTAATAAAGCCGCGTTCGCGCCCAAAGATATTGTGCCTTCGTAATGCAGGAGCCTATATATCAAAGGACTGCATCGTTTGCCTTTACGGGGAAGCGGAAGACTGTGCAAAATTGGGAGTTATGTACCAATCTGAATGTCTAAATGGATCAGTATACATAGGTGACACAGGAAGACCTTTGTGCACTAGGATGAAGAATCTGGCTTGTATGAAGCGAGGTATTCTCACCTTTGAGTAAACATAA